CAAATCTGGAGCCTTATGTTTGCTTGGCAAGTGTGTTCAATAGACCTGTATATCCAGCCTTGGTCTTGTATCAGTAAGATAAATTATTAAGTTACTGTACTAAAGAGACTATTTTGTTACTTTGTTACATGGCTAAATTGGAGAAGTTCTGTGTTTTCTTGATGATCATCTAGAGTTTAAGATAATGATCCAATTGAAATATAAGCCTGAAGGTGGGTTTCATAGGGGAATCTAATGGAAACAGATTATTTGTTAAAACTACAGTATTTAAAAGAAGGTTTATTGTAATTAAGCAACTTAGCCAGAGAATCAGGCCATATCAAAAATTCCAACTTTTCTGTGCATAGGTCATTAAATATCAGCTTCTGAACTTTCTGAAAGTTCTGTAATGCCAAGGCCCTGGAATTGAATTGTAGTTCATGGAACTTGCTCAGAAACATTAACTATGTCACTTATAGATAGGATAAATCAATCTCCTCATGAAGAAATGTGTCTTCCCTAACTATTAAATGAATAATGGCATCCATGTCAAAATATATTGAAGGCATTGGATCCTCCATGTTTGTCTGTCTCTGATCAAATGTTTGGAATGAGCACCTGTGTTTTATCTCACAAACACAATGTAAAATTCTTTGTTTAGCCATTGACATTTCAGTTGCATGTGCCTCAATTATTGATTATCATTTTGTCTGCAGTAATGTTCAAGATCCATTCCTATATCTTATTATTGATGACAGGAATTGAACATTTTTAAATATAATTATTTCAATTCATCTGCTATTCTGATTTTTATGAAGATGTAGAAATAAGCAATTCAATACTGCATGATAATCATATAATGCAACAGAATTGAATGGTTTGTGAAAAACTGAAGTGTAATAAACTTTGTTATGAGTCTAATAAACTGCAGTAAGCATGATAAAATGAATTTTATTTGAGTAAGAAGAAACTTTTGTAAACAAGGAAATAATGTCCATCTTGAATGTGATGCCTAATTACTTTAAAGACTCCTCATCCTTAGGCCGGGCATTGGTGGCACAGGCCTTTAATCCCAGCACTCGGCAGGCAGAAACAGGCAGATCTCTGTGAGTTTGAGACCACCCTGGTCTACAAGCGCACCCCAAAAAAAACCCTTTAGGTAAAAAAAAAAAAAAAAAAAAAAAAAAAAAAAAAAAAAGACTCCTCATCCCTCATCCTTTAGTAAAAACATGTTAAAATATGTGTTTGTAAGTTAATTTTAGAATTTAATATATATATACCTGTGTTAAGATTGGTTAAGGTCATTTACCACATAGTCACAGCAAATCCTTTCCTTTATACACGGAAACAGACAACATAGATAATAATCACAGACTGTGGACTGATTGATAAAGATGTTCAAAAATATTCACTTGTCACCTGACACTTTTCTTCATCGAAGATCAGAGTGAAAAGCTTACGTGCACCTCACAGTAGCTGCAACGTGAACAGAGAGGCTGGGAGATAGCACAAGGAGATTTAAAGCCTTGGTTTGCCTCTGGCAAGAAACATGTGATTCTGTGACCCATTATACTATTCTTCATTGACTCTCTGTGGTCAATATGAAGATCATAACCACGTAAGTATACTCATAAAGGAAGTTAACCTCATGAGAGAGCAGGATTAAAGGTAGACAGCAGTCATTTCATATTTAATAACAATATTCTAAAAGAGTTTTGATTTTCCATGAAATTTTAATCATCATTTCCACTCCATATTTGTTAGTTCTGATCACCTTGAACATGCCTCTTTACACTAGGTAGTGAACTTACATACAATAATCTGTTACTAAAACACACACACACACACACACACACACACACACACACACACAATTCTGGACATAAATCTCAGGGAATCGTTATGCCAGACAAATATTTCTTCCTTGACCCCTGCAATACTTTCTTGTTAACAGAATTGTAACTTAAATAAAAATGAAATTCTGCCTATATCTAGATAATTTTTTTCCTGTGGTAACTGATGTGAAATATTATTGTACTAGATACTTGCTTATTCAGAAATAATTGTTATGATGTTTGTTTTTAGGTAGACAACTCCATGTAAACGTTTATTATCATATCATAGCTTAGAAAAGAATAAGTTGGATTTTATTCAAAATAGATTTTAACATTCTGTTAGAGTTAAATTTCCTCACTTACATCAAGGCAATAAATAATTTTTTCAAATCTTGACTAGCTAACTATTTTCTGTTTTGAGTTACTATGCCCATACTCAATCCTTTCGACTAATTAAACTCAATATAAATTTGAAAATGACATGTTTTATTAAAGATGTATACATATGTAAATGTTCTTTTATGTTTAATTACAATTATTGTGTAATTTCGTAAATGATCATTAGTTTTAGTTTTTAAAAGGCATCATGACAATAAGAAAATTGGTAAGGAAGTAAGCAACAATGGACTATAGTTGCTGGAAGCCTGTGACAGTGTTTATCTCTTTTCAGGTAGACAGAATTCAAATTGCTTTCCGTAGTGGAGCAATATGCTGTTGAAAATAAGCAAGGGACTTAAGAGGAGGCTTTTCATTTGCATATTTATGCTGCAAAACTAAGCAGCAATGTTTTCTAGCTACTCAAGAGCTGTGAAGGAGAGGGGAAAAACAAAAACAAAAACAAAAACAAAAAACAACAGCCTAGGTAAGAAAGCCAGTAGCATATTTGACTGATTAAAGAAAATACAAAGTTTATCAATAAAGATGTCAGAATTGTATGTTCTGATATCTGTGCTACAAAATGACAGTCTTGTGGTTTGTTAGGAGCTCAGATGCAAAACTGCTTGAATGCTTCTCACATCTACTAATACCACAAGTGAAGCTGGAGGCTGCTCTCTTGATGAATGATCAATCCTTCAGACTGACACGACCTAGTTGTTTGCTCTTGTTGCTTAAGACTCTGAATTTCAATTAAGCAGTAAATCATTATAGAATTATATTTTCAACTGCCAGTTAGCATGCCTTAAATCACTAGCAAATCTGAATCACTTTTATTTTGCAGAATTTTTTCTTCAGGATTCTCTCCAGAGCAAAAATTCTTACTTGACTGGTAAACACATTTTTTCTCAAAGTGTATAGCCAGATATCAAATAATTATATGATGTAAGATGCCAGCTGGGTGCTTACATCAAAAGAATATTATAATTACACTTTAAGTTACAATCCACAGTATAAATTGAGGAAAATTGTTTGTATTCTTAAGATTTTGGCAAACAGGTCTTGACCTACCTGTAAGTATTAAGTCATGTTATATTTAAGATTTTTTTCCCACTGACACATTCCTTGGAAAATGTTTTAAATAAAATGAAACACATAAGCATTCACAGAACTGGTCCCACTCAATTAGTATAAACATTTCCTTTCCTATATAATCAAATCCTCATTTGTATTTTTGTCAGTAAACTTGTTTATTATAAATGTTCTGTCTGGTACATAGTGGAGCAAAGACCGAAAGTTTAGTGCTGTTTTTATTGAGTATTTCAGCATTTTAAGAGAAATATAGACAGCTTGAAAGAGAGAATCATTGTGCAATATTTAGATAATTTAAATTTATAGGGCCACGAAGCTAAATAAATACAACTGGCAGCATTCAACTATGTCTGCCAATGTTTTAGTATTAGAAATGGAGTGTTATAAGCAAGTTAAACATATTTTATAGACAGCATACATGGAAAATACTTCTACTTGCAGGGTTCACAGCCTACAACAGAAATAACACAATATAAAGTAAAGCAAATTTGTTAGAAGTTATTTGAGATAATGATTACTTAACCAATATTTAAACATATTTCTGCTTGACCCCAAAGCTTTGGGTTTGAATCCCTCTATAAAAAATTCTATGGCATTCTCTCATTATTTAAAAAAAAAACTTACTAATATTGTAAGCCTAATTTAATACTATAAAACATACATATATTGATTCCAAAGATTGAGTCAGTATCACATATTTTATTGTGGAAAACACATAGATTAATTTGTCATATGAAACTGTTATTTAGTTATAAATTTAGCCGTACCAAACTTACACTATTCATGACCTTACTAGTCCCTATGTATCCTAAAAGGAGCAAGGTAATTAAAGAAAATCTATCCAGCTAAACATTCTCATGAACTAACAAAACTTCATTCCATGGCTAGGATTAACCCATCAAAGAGTAATTAAGAGTTTTATTAGCTGGGTAGTTGCCATCAAAGTGAAACATGTTGTAGTAGAACACCATTTAGAAAGTTGGGGAAGGAAAATTATTTATGTCTGGATTATAAAAATGAAGGATTTAAACACTAAGGACTCATATATTTCTTTAAGATGCCAAACATATTTTTAAAACATAATCTATAAATGCACATTTGCATACAACGAGAACTATCCTTTTAACAACAGTAACTCACTCTTGTATTGCATTTTCTGATGCTGTTCATCAGAACACAATGACAGCAATTAGACAACTAACAGATATTTTTTGAAAATAATGCAAGAAGTTTGCCTATGAGACAATATAGATGGTATTAAGGTAATCACATACTCATGTCCTATCCCATTGAAATAGATTACAGACAAAAGAGAAGGGAAAATGGTATATGTAAGAAGGGTGGTGGTGATAATATGACTAAAAGTAATACAAAATATACAGTAGAGCACACTATATATGTCAAAGTTATATTTCATATAGAAAAAATGCCATGAGGTGTATATGATGACTATCTCATGGCTTTACAGATGAACTATAAATTATGTTAATAAGTAATGATTTATAAAGACATGTAATTCAGTGTTTACACTTACACCCATTCCTTCAAAGAACACTTATGTATCTACACATGAAATAATTCTGGTCAATTATTTTCCTAAAATATAAAACACCTTAAACAGTTGCTTTTATAATTTTATTAAACATATAATCAGAAAATCATTTGAGCATGGAAAAATAAAATTGGTATCATTAACTTTGGAAGAAATGATGTACTTACCATCATGATTGGGATTTCCCAGTGTCCATGGCTCATCAGAATCAAAATGAGTATCTCCTCCAATTCCTGGTCCAGGGAAATAGGCATGTGCCAAAAATCCTCCCTCCCCGTCAAAGGGGGAACTGTCTCCATGAAAACCAGATGCAAAAATGATGGTTATATCCACATCACGTTTGCCATTTTCTAGTTCACTGTAGGGAACTTCTTCAAATGTTAGCGGAGTTACATTCTGCCACACATCAAAGGCACGGCGAATTGCTCTCCTGGTCTCAGGGTCTCCAACTTTTGGAGTTACATTCTTTATACTGAAAGTTGGAAAAGATAATGATCAGTGTGGCTTCTGGTGTGTAATTTGAATTATTGCAATTTCTTCACCTCTTTAGTTCAGAATTTTCAGAGAAAATGACTACATTATAGAGAAATAGAATTTATTCATTTTAATCGACTTTATAGACACTCTTCATTACACTGAGTTTTTTCATTATCATCAAGGGAACATTCATGTGCCAATGCTATTAAGGAGAAGAGCTGTGTAGGACACTTAGGGGGTGGTAGGATGATAGATCAATCAGTTTGCCAAATGATGAAGCAGGTGCCACAGCTTCGAGTTGAAATAAAAAAAAACAATTTCCTTTTTATTTCCATCATTGTAGAGGTATATTGCTGTAATTATACAATTAAATAATATCTTTATGCCTAGATATCTGAACGCCAACTCAGCATGAGTCAAATTTTATTTAGTTTTTTAACAAAGGCCCAGTTATTATGGTCTCAGTTATTCTTCTCTGCATAACAATGTGTTTTCTGAAAACATAAATAAACATAAAATAGCTACTTACAAAAAAGATTTACAGATTTTGTCAATTTTAAAGGATTCAGGAAAATATAAAAAATGTACCTTGGCATGATTACTTTCACCCTAATCTATCGTTAATATAAATTTATGAAACAAACTATTTTTTGTTTAACACTAATTATATATTTATATATGTATATATAACATATATATAACAGATGAATACTTCAGAGTTAATAGGTTTCAAATGCTCTCAATCAGTAATTTTCTGCAGATAAGCTTGCAGCAAGTAAGATCTATAATACAAAAAAAAAGCTGATGTTGAATTGAATATAGCTTGCTATACAATCATCAAAGAGAAATGGAAGACGAGTTTACAGTGATAGTGATGTAGCCAAATTATGGCATCTAAACTGCATGACATTACTTATATAGGACTAAGATTTACTTTTCTTCTTCTATTTCTCAATATTGAAAACATTTCAAGTTCTACTTTTAAGTAGAAAATGGTAACATTCTGATTATTTAAAACTAAGTTCTATATAATAACTACAAATACTACAATGATAATTATCTTCTTTGAGCATTGTGAATATGACAAAACGCTCAACATACCATATTTAATCTTACCAGTAACATATAGAGAAGAGTATTAATACCTTAGTAAAATGCTACAATTTATATGAATTTAAAGAAAACATTCCCTGTAAAATAAGAATGTTCTGACAGGTATTTTCCTAAACAAAAGTCCCATGCCTTGGAGTTCATATACCCCATCCAAAAATAAGCTTTCCTTTCCTTTATAATACATAGCCCAGACCTTATTTACATTTTGATATTATTTACTGAACATTATTTATTCTTTATAAAAGGACAAAGAACAAACAAGTAGAACAGGGTTGGCAGGAAGGAGTAATCCAGGAAGCCACAGGTGGTAAAAGGCTCTGAAGTGGAGATGTTCCAGCAGATTCCAAGAGCCAAAAAGTACATGGTGTAGCTTAGGCACTGAGATTAGTAGTGTCAGAGGTGTTTTTTTTTTTTATTTTGTTTTCAACTTTTAAAAATTCTTCTCATAACTGAGATGAATGTTGAACTTTTGGAACAACTCTCTAGAATTTACTATTGATAGGAAAATCATCTGTATGCTATTTTAAAATATTATACTTTTATCAATGACCTCCCCTTCACTTTTATATGTTGCTCTGAGTACAGGAAGAACAACTAGAGTATTTTCAATGACACTTGACATTGGGATTCTGTCTTGAATAAATGAATTGAGGCACAATGAGGAATGAATATTGTGACAGAGAAAATGCTGAAATGGAAGATATTTAAGGACTTGTAACCCTTCAGTTGGAAGATGGTGGAAAAATTTATCAGGTGGTGACAACAGAAACAGGATTCATTTTTGAGGGTACACACACAAGGAAATTTAACATCAGTGAAAGATAGAAGAAACAGCTTTCTGCTTGCTCAGGGATAGTTGGTTGTCAGTTTGTGCTAGTGTCAATCTCCATTAAGCATAATGCCTTGTATTAGTTTTTAAGAAAAAGGAAGTAGCTACTCGGAGGCATCAAGGACTTTGTAGCATGTTAGAAAAGTGTAAGCATAGAAGCCCTATGATCATATTTCCATTACAAATATAACTGCTTCCTATGGAAAATGGATGAGAGGGGAAAGGTGGTAGGAGATATCCTTCCACTAACTCAAAGAGGATAGACAGGAACATGCTAAGAGCACCGGTCCTGGAGACACAGAGAACATGTTTTACCCTATATACTGAGAGAAATGAAAGAGCAGATTGGTAATACAATATATGATGGAGAAATGAATTTTACTTCAGGTAAATGATAACGATAAATGATGAAAATAAATGATTGTTATGTTAGGTAAGTTATTAGAGGCTATGAGAAGGATAAAACAATAAGGGCAATATAGACTAACACACACTGTACATGTACATGTTTTAACTTGAAATATGTCACTGTTTACATGATTCCATACACTGTGGAGCTTCCAAAATATGTTTTGCCATTCTATGTGTGATATTATTCATGAATAAATATAAACCTTATGTGTAATTAAGAACCATGTTGGGAAATCCATATAGAAGACTCAAAAAACAAGGTGTCACTAAAAACTGTGCTTCTTAATCACCGTTTATATTAGCTGATAAATTATATAACAGAAGCACAGAGTGATAGTGGAGTCATGACAGTAAAGTGAGTAGCCATAAATTTCTAATGTGTAATGCACAAATAACAAAATTTTAGCCACATAAAAGGGCAGTATATTAAAATGAGGAACACTAATTTTTTTTTCAACTCTAATGAAGCTGAATTATATGAAAAATATTTCTTGCAGATTTCCTTATATAGATAAAGAGAAGATTCACTGAAAATGTATTTTATTTGCTCAAGTGTTTATCAGGATATTTTATAGAGAATTTTACCACACTTTTCAATTTTTCATTCTGATAATATTTGGAACTTTAATCTAAAAAGCACACCAAACACAAGACAACCTTAAACTGATTAAAGCAAAGTGTGTAAAGAATTTATCAGAATAATTGGCACTGGTATCAAAATGGGTGAGCAGGCTTATTTTTACTAAGAAGACGTAGGAATTCTACTCTTAACATCATTATAAACTGTGCCAGTTAATTTCATGATAATCACACATAGAAAGATTGCTACTTTATTTATTCTTATCATGGTAAATCTTTTTCAATGTTAGACTACAATTTTACCTTTGATATTGCAGGGAGGGATAAAGATGAATGCCTGGAGTTTATTTAAAATACAGAAACATTTTAATACTCTTTACTAAAGTTAGCTACTGTTTGGGGGAGGGTTAAAACATTAATATAAGGGAAAAAACCTTCTCTGACATAAATTATCAATAAATACTCATTGTTTTCTAAGTTCATAGATGACTTTCAGGCTGTTTACTTATTGCATATAGTCTGTAGTCAAGAAGTTTGTCATTGCATGATATCCATATTGGAGAATATACATTGAAAAGAGAAAATGTTAGCCACACAAAAAATATTCAGAAACAGCTGAAAGTCTGGGATATTGAACTAGTTATTCAAAATAACTCATTGATATATGTCAGAATCTTAATAGAATTGTAGCTAACATAAAAATATAAGGAGAGAGAGAGAGAGAGAGAGAGAGAGAGAGAGAGAGAGAGCCATGTGATAGAAACTGTAAGAAATAAAGTAGAGAACAGGGCAGAAATGAAATTACATGTAAAAAAATGGAGATTGCCTCTGATATTCTCAGTATGGCCAAGAAAAGAATCAGTGAATTCTAAAATATTGCAGGAACTTTGTAAACTGCAAAATATAGCAAAGAAATGATGTAAATCAGAATAGATACTACATGAACTATGAGAAAATAGATGTAAAGATTACATGCAAAGGAAGAAGAGCGTATGTACCAATGTCAGCAAATGTTTCAATATTAAAAAGAGAGATCAAGTTACTGATCCATGAAACTCAGAGCACATGAAAGAGAAAATCCCATCACACCAAAATCATGTCTTTAGAAGAACAAAGCAAACAATTATAGTTAGAATTCTGTTTTTAAAATGAAAGAAAGCAGCACAGAAGGTTTAAATGTTCAGATAATAAATAATAAAACCACCAACCTAGAAATCAGCATCCAGTGAAATTAGCATTCAAAAGTGAAGTAGAAAAAATAACGTGTTCAAAGAAAAACTAAGGAATTCTTGTCAGTAGACTTTCCTGACAAGAGATATAAGACTTCTTCAGAGATAAGATCAGAAATTCAGATCTACATAAAGAAAGGAAAAATATTAGAGAAGGAATGTACTTCTTTCTTAGATAACACAAAACAAACAAAATTATGTGAAAACAATATTTAAGCTAGCATTAAAATGAAATGCTTATAAATTACTGTTTTATATATAATATTTAGCTGTCTATATAAGAATATATATACTGTCTATATGAGAAAAGTAGAAAATCCTGATATACATTAAACTATGGTAGTAAGAAAGTAGTCATGTTCGTGCAGAGGAAGATTCAGTATGTTAAGGTTTTAGTTCTTTGCTACTTAATCAGTAGACATATGTATTATTAATCAAAACATATCCAATTATTTTATAGATATGAAAAGATATATTTAGAATTTGATGTTGAAATTCCTGAAACTTAACATAAACAGCACAATACTTAAAAAGTACCCAGAAAACTAAATCTACTAGATATTACAGTAACTTCCAAGTTAACAATTGAGGTATTATAATGGTGGCTTAGAATGGACATATCAGGGACAGAAAGGAAGAATAAGCCCAAGGGATACCAATGGAGAAAAGTCAACTAATCTATGGCAAATTAGTGAAAGGAATACATTTTGAAAAACGCAGATCTTTTTAGCAATATTGCTGGGGAAGAATGGGTACACATTAACCCAACATATCCACAAATGTATCCATGTAAGACTCAATTAATGTACATATTTTAATGCTATTTCAAAAGTGAAAGTAGGGTGGGGCTGTAGCTCAATTATTAGTTGTTATCTAGCATGTAGGAAGCCCTTGGTCTGTTCACCATGATCACACAAACTTCCTCCCTCTTTTCAGCCATGATTCCCTAAGTTTGGTTTAATGTTTGACTGTGGGTCTTTATATCTGTTTCTACGAGTTGTTAAATGAAGCCTTTCTATTGACAATTGGAGTAGGCCACAATCTCTCTCAGGATAGACAAACAACAGCCAGGTCAATATTTCACCACTGGAGCCCAGCTACCCTGCTACAGCAAACTGTTATGGTATATTTTTGGACACTACATATAACAACAAAGGGAGGATATGAGTTGGATATTATTAGAATTATGACAACTGCTGTAAAAAAAATCACAAAGTAAATGGAAGTATAATCACGAACCAAGAGAAAATGGTGGAAGATACTACTGATTGAAGAATTACAGAATAACCACTGCTAAGTGTTCTAGAGAAGACAGCCATCTACTTATTAATCAGAAAATCTGAGGAGACACCTTACCAAAGAAGATAATATGAAAGCATGTAAGAAGTAAGTATAGATTATGCTGAACTTATATTTCACTAAAGAAACCATCTATGTACACTATCTCCATTTCCATGAACAAGGAGAATTCTGCCCCAGTGTCTTAGTTAGTTTTATGTCCACTTGACAAGCCAGGTACATTTGGTAAGAGGGACTCTTAATTGAGAAAATGCCTAATAAGATCCAGCTGTAAGGATCTTCATCTTACAGACATGTTCTTAATTAGCAGTTTCTGTGATAAGGCCCAAACCATTGTCATTGGTGCCCATCCAGAGCTGTTAGCCCTCAGTTTTATAAGAAAGCAGCCTGAAGAAGGAAGGGGCAAGCCAGTAAGCAGCACTCCATTGTGTCCTCTGTATAAGCTCCTGCCTCCAGGTTCCCACCGAATCTGAGGTCCTCTGCTTTGCTTCCCTCAATTTACTATGACTAAGGATATGTAAGCCAAATAAACCCTTCCTCCCCAAATTGATTCTGGTGTTTTTACACAAAAAGCAACCCTAAGAAACACTGTCAAATCAGTTACAGCTTCAAACACTTAACTACTAAATGCTGGAGATATTATAGGCAATAGAGTTTTCAGGAATCACTAATGACGATTCAAAGAGGAACAAAAAGCTATGTTAGCAGTTTTGTAGAGAGCCCACCCCAGTTTTAGTATACAATAAGCAATCACTCTCCTTGGTACTTATTCAAGTTATCTAGAAATAAAAAACTTGAACAAAAGATGTTTATACTAGCTAGATTCCTGAGAAACATTGAAAATAACTGAGATGGCTTCATTAGGTGAGTAAGTAAACTGTGGTGACTTTACAATGGATTGTTATATGGTAATAAAAATAAATGAGCTATCAAGTCACAAAAAGATGCAATGAAAACTTAGGTATATTTATGTATGGAGAAGTGAATTGGAAAAGACATTTTGCCAGACCATATCTAAATGGCAAAACATAAAAATCAATGCTCACATTGATAATAACAAAATAAGTAATACCAGGGTTTTAGAGGGGAGATAGATAGAATAAATTGGCAAGAAATGGGATTTCTAGGGCACTGAAACTACTTTTATAATATTGTAGATGCAGACACATGACATCATACACCAGCCAAATACATAGAACAAGACAGTGAATGGTATGATAAAAAATAGTTCTCCCACAGGAATCAGAAGTGACTTGGGATCATCATATTTGTAAATGTGCCACACTAAAGAAAATATTCCCAACAGCAGAAACTGGTCTAAAATTCCCAACAGACTCCTTGGTCTAAAATTGCTGTGAAAAATGAAATCATTTATTATTTAAGAATGGCTATAATTTTTTATGATTTTGAAATTGTTTATAATTATGCTAGGTAATATGAATAGAAGTAAAGTCTAAGTCACAGTAGGTTTCATTTTTCAAACTTTTATATTTTATAATGTTTCATTACCTTTCTAAATGCCCTCTCTGTCACTATCAAGAAAAGAATTGCATTTAATCAGTCTTGTATAAAGTATACCGTGCTTTTTAGTCTCCAACCTTGTCACTATGCACTACTTGAAACTGAAGTTCACTAGAGAAAGAAGGACAGCTGATTGAACAGCAGGCATTAATATTGACATTGCTGGGAAGATATAAATAGTATCCCATATTAATTTCTGGGAATATATTTAACGTTCTTTGAAAAGCAAAGATAAAATATGTGGTTTAAAATGTTCCTGTAGCTAAATGAATAACACCATGAAAAAATTTAAATGACAGTGAATATTAACTGCATGGAAAGACCCAAGGTTATTTTCTCTTTAATTTATCTGAAGAGCAGTTGACATAATTTACATAAAAAATCATCCTGTGTCATTCTATCCGGGAGGATGATATGAGATTACAAAATAACTCTGAGTGATGCCTGTCCTCTAAATAATCAAAATAAGCACAAATGCCATACTCTCTTTGTATATTGAGAAAACAAAAACAAATCATTTTAATGTTATATTTAAACATTTCATTAAGGCCTATTGGTGAAAATAGCAAGAATCACAAAATACCTTTCCTAATCATAAACTTTGATTGAGGTATTTTTGGACATACTACTGTCCATGAAGGGTCTTCCATCTTCTATCCATTGGTTTAACAAATTTCTTTCAAATATTCTTATGGGCCTTTGTTGTGAAGAAGCATTTCAAAAAGAAAGCTATAGTTTGCCAGGCGTTGGTTATTGGCCGGGCGTTGGTGGCTCATGTCTTTAATCCCAGCACTTCGGAGGCAGAGGCAGAGGCAGAAGCAGGCAGATCTCTGTGAGTTCCCGGCCAGCCTGGTCTCCAGAGAGAGTGCCAGAATATGCTCCAAAGCTACACAGAGAAACCCTGTCTCAAAAAAACAAAACAACAACAACAACAAAAAACAAAAACAACAACAACAAAAAAAAAACCACTGTGGCTTTCTAGAATGGTTAGGACAATCATGGTGTGTGTGTGTGTGTATGTGTTGTTTCTTCCTTTTCATATAGACACCACATTTATGTAATTATTTAACCTACACATTGCTATATGTTCATAATGACAAACATGGTTCTCATGTTTTATTTGTTATCTCCCAGGCCTGTATATATGTATGGTCTCCCAGAGGAGGGGAAAGGGACAAGAGCTCCAGAGCAAATTGGGAGCATGGGGGAGGGAGGGAACAAGGGAGGGGAGAAAGAGGACTGGGGAAGATGAGGGGATGGGAGAACATGAGGGAGCACAAAGATTGAGTTAGAGGAAGAAAAAAGGAGAGCAACAAAAGAGATACCTTAATAGAGAGAGCCATTATAGGTTTAAAGAGAAATCAGGCACTAGGAAAATGTTCAGAGATCCACAAGCATGACCCCTACTAAGAATCTAAGCAATAGAGAAGAGTATACCTTAAATTCCTTTCCCGATAATGAGATTGATGACTACCTTCAATGCCATCCTAGAGCCTTCATGCATTAGTTGATGGAAAGAAAGCAGAAATCCACAGCTAAACACTGAGCTGAATTCCTGGAATCCAATTGTCGACAGGGAGGAATGATGAACAAAAGGTTCAAGACCATGTTGGGGAAACCCACAGAAACAGCTGACCTCAGCAAGTGGGAGCTCATGGACCCCAGTCTGACAGCTTGATGAACCAGCATAGGACTGAAACAAATCCCCTGAATATGTGTGTCAGTTTGGAGGCCTGATCCGTCTATGGTGCCTCTAGTAATAGAATCAGAATTTATCCCTATTTCTCGAATGGACTTTGGGAGCCCATTCCCCATGGAAGGATACTCTCTCAGCCCAGTTACATGGCTGAAGGACTAGGCCCTTCCCCATGTGACATGGCAGACTTTGATGACCCCACATGGAAGGCCTCACCCTCCCTGGGGAGTGGATGGGGGAGGGAGGGTGGGATAGGGGGTTGGTTGGAGGACTTGGGAGGATGGGAGGGAGAGGGAACTGAGATTTATATGTAAAACAAGATTGTTTTTAATTTAAATAAAAAATAATTATAAAATTTCCAATAAGTTAGTGGTACCATTAGATTGGATGCCATTTTGCATCATTGAAGATAACAAAGAAAAGTTGTCAAGTTCAATAATTACATAGTTACAGTGCTACCTCAAACACTAACCATTTTTAAGGCATTTTGTTTAAAAGTTAGACTTAACTGTGCAGTGGTTGTGCATGTCTTTAATCCCAGCAGTTGGGAGGCAGAGGCAGGTGGGTCTCTGGGAATTCAAGGCCAGCCTGTTCTAGAAAGCTAGTTCAAGACAGCCAGAACTGTTATACAGAGAAACTCTGCCTTAAAACCCCCAGCCATATGGGTTGGGGGAGGACTGGGTGGAAGGGGATGGAGAGGGAGAAGGGACTGACATGTGAAGCAAGCTTGTTCCTAATTAGAACTAATAAAAAAATTAGAAAAAAGATGAATTTAAAAAAAACAGCCAAAAAGGTAGACTTATAGATTATACTTATTTATTTTTTAGACTATAAATATTTGTCAAAGATTACACTGAATTGTAACACTCATCTCAAAATCCCTCAAGATGTTAACATCTTTTGGAAGTTGTGAGGCACAAAATACAAAGAGACCAACATCTGCAAGTTCCCTGTTGGCCATTTTAGTCTTTTCCTATTGCACTTTCAAATTCTATACAACAATATATCACTGGTTACTTACATGTAGTCCATGTTCTTAAGTTAACATGCATCAAACAAAATGTCAAATCAATAGAAATTAAACAAAGTTGGGGGTAGGGCTGAGTATTGTACCTATAAGTGATATGTTTATGTTGCCACTTCTGTCCAGTTAGTGCATAGCGTTTTCGACGAATGTTGAATTTGGAGCTGCCTCTTGTCTGATCTGGTACACCACATCTAGGTTTCTTCATCCAGCTGAAAAAAGAAAAAAAAATACGTATTTTCAGCAAGTCCTCTTAGTGATATCAAAATGAAAAGGAACAGCAATCCATGAAATGATTCGGAAATCGTTCGTGTTCAATGCCCTTACAATTTAAGACTAAATATTTACCATACATTTTCAGAAAGAGTTAACATTATGTTACTACTTAAATTCTTTAGTGCATTTACTTCCTCCAAAGCTCTCTAAGATAACAGCAGAAAGAAGTTATATGAAATTTCTATACAGATTCCAATGTGGAAAAAGTATGTAATCTTAAGCAAATCTTCATGTCATATCTAAAATAACACCAGGAAATAATGGAATGTTAACATTCTCTGAGTTTTGGTTTGTTTTGTTTGCAGATGAATTTCCCCTTATTTCTGAATATAATATTTTATTAGTTTATTATATTATTTTATAATTTATAGTTACAATTATACTATTGTGTTACAATATCTCAACATGATATTACATTACAAAATTTCATTATAATATTGTTGGCAAATGAAAATAATTCTACAGTCCTAAGATTTTTTTTCTGAGACAGGATTTCTCAGTGTAGCAGCCCTCCACAGCTCTCCTGGAACTCCGTCTGTAGACCAGGCTGGCCTCAGATTAACAGAGACACACTTGCCTATGCCCCCCAACCCATGAAGTAATTAAAAGCCTGTGCCACCACACCCACCTTGAGTGTCCAGATTTGATCTCAGACTTTTTGCATCGGTTATGAGTTAACACTTGGCTCCTAAGATTTGCTGTCAGACTTTCAGAACATTTTTGCATGGAATATAAGTTAACACTTTTTAAAAAATATTACTTTAAATTTTTATTTCATGTATACAGATGTTAGACTGCATAGACACCTCTGTGCCATGTGTGCGCTTGGTGCCTGCAGGGTCAGAAGATGGAGTCAGATCCCTGGGAAATGGAGTTCCAGATGATTGTGATTCACCTTAAAGATGCTGGAAATTGAACCCAGGTACTCTGGAAGAGCAGCCAGGGCTCTTAACTGGTGAATAATCTCTCCATTAGCTTCACAGATTTTTATAGTCACCATGCTCCTTCTAATCATAGGGTTCGCTAGGGCAGAGTCCCTCTCCTTCAGCCTTCAGAGCAGTACATTATTTGTTCATATGGTCCTGGCATTTTTCCAATTCTCCTTTAGTTTCAGTCATTATTCATGTTTCCAAATGAAAATCAAATTCAGTCATTATAAAATATTTTTTAGAGTTTGCAGTACAGAATTACAGAATGAGTTGAATCAAAATGCTGTTTTGTGTATTGATTTTCCTGTGTAGTTATATGTCAAACTCTAACTTGTCTTCTGGGGCATGCATTTGAATGCTATCATGTTTATTAACTAGGCTTGAGACTTGTTTAAGTAGAAAGTTGTTAAGGATTTTTAATAGTTTCCCTCACAATACGTTTTTTCCTGTTCATTGGCTTCTTTACTAACTACCAAGACCACACTCAATTTTCAAGTTGCTACATGCTTCAGATAGAAAATGAAAATAATTTCCTTTTATGACTTTCATCACATATGTGCATTTAAAAATATTTTAAATGGACTTGAATTTAGAAATGGCTATCTATGAATATTCACTGTATAACTAGGTATTTTCATGTGTATTTAGAATCCTGGACCTAGTGGGGAGGCTGAAACAGTTTTGTCACTTTAAGGCCAGATAAGTCAATCATTCCAGGACAGATAAAGAAACAGAACAACACTGACATCTAAAGTTATTTATTTATTTGTTTATCTATTTTTAGTCTGCCTCTCCTATTGTTTTTGTTTCTGTTTTATTATAAAACTGACACATGCTTATTATAGAATGACTTCAAAATTTAAAAAAAAATAAACTTCTGTTTTGGAAAGTCAATTAATTTGTTAGAAGTAGCATGTTTAAAATAGATTTTTTTTAATCATTCATGTATGTTCCTCATCTTTTTAGTAGTTTATATATTTGTGTAAGTGTGTGTGTGTGTGTGTGTGTGTGTGTGTGTGTGTTGTTCACCAAT